GTAGCAATCCTTGTGCTAGTTAGCATGACAGCTTTCCCACTCTTGACAGCACTGGTGCAGTTCCACTGGCTGTAGCGGTGACTAGTGAGAACACCCAATTTTCTAGTCCTGCGTTGGGCAGCTTTATGTGGCACTCTGGTACTTTTATTGGACTATAGATGCTGGCAGCTGCTGGAGCTGCCTTGATGTCAACCACCATAGTAAATGCTCAGGAAGACTTAGGGATGTTTCGGTTTTTTGCATTTGTCCATTGCATGACTAACCCAAGACTCTATTTTGGTATTCAAATCTCACTGCTTTTCGTGTTATGGATTATTATGCATTTGGGGGGTAGGCAGAGAGGGGGGTTCTGGCCAGAGGAAAACCACCATCCACCTTTCCCCTGCCTGTTCACCCAATTTCATGGAATATCTGCTGGTGTTTGATAATGCAGTTAAAAGAATGAAAGACCAGAGTCATTCAAGGAATAATTGAAATGAGCATCTGCATGTCCCATGTTGAAATGATAAGTTGTGTTCCCTTCCATTTAGGCTGAGCTGAGAGAAATATAGGAAGTGACTCCTCAGAACACAATACAAATTCAGTTTCCTGATTCATATAATTCCCAATCTTTTGAGAAATAAAAACTGAGTTCTGTATGCGTCCAGCCTCTGAGCCTGGGTCTTTTCCAGTCAAACTTCCCACAGTCCTTAGTGTTTCCAATGACACATGTGTAAAGGGGCAGAACAGGAGGATAAGGAATTTGTGATCAAGGAGAAGACACTTCATTGTAATGCTGATGTTTTTGTAGATAAAGAATAATTAACTATCAGTAATACAATAGCTTCCAGCAGCTTACTTTTTTATATGAGAATCATATTTCCATAAGTGAATCATATATTTCCATTAGTATATTTTGAAAGATTACATTTTGCCCTGTTGCTAGAGAAGAACAAATCTTGCCATTTTAGCGTGTCCCCAACTGACCAGACTGACCAGTGTGCACTTACAAGCCCATTCATGTCTTTTCTCAACAATATTTACTCAAGGAGCAGAGAGCTCATTGAATATACTGTTTGTAGTGCAGGCAACTAGGGAAGTGAAAGCGCCAACCTGGGTGCCACCTCATACCCCTTTTTGAGTACCTGTTCTGGCTGTTGTGCCTACCATGTTGATCCTTGTGCTTCCTTGACTACCTGAATTCCATCTTTTCAACACAAGTTGTGGACTGTTATGGTTGCTGGACAGCTGGGCCAGACAGCTTTCTTTATCAGTGAGTGGTGGGAGACGAGGTGTCCTCCATGATTTCTTTGCACCGGTACCAGATAAGCATTTTGGTCATTGAGTAGCTGGGCTGGGCCAGTGCACAGTGGGACATTCATTTTGGAGTGAGGTAGTGAGCAAACACCAGTGGGGTTCTCTGCCTGTTTTTACAGGGAAAGAGTCTGGTTAGAATGTGGCTTGCCAAGACAAACTCATAGTCCTGCTGGGCTGGTGTGTCAGCATGAGAGTAGAGGGGAGGAGGCGAAAGTGTCTGAGTGGAAAAGAAACAGCAGACAACGTCTCATGTAGGCCCTGCCCTTCGTGGGAGAGAGAGAATGGACACAAGGTGCAGCTTACTATAATATTCTCAAATACAATCAGACCAGGGTTCCACATAAAAAAAAACCCAGAAGTTTCAAAATAAAAGCATTCTTTTACCTTTGTAAAGACTAATACTGTATTTTCCGGTGTACCGTCCACTCCCTCAAATTGGATAACTTGTGGGGAAAAGTTTTCAAATAAAAGTCAATCAAAATCTATTGCAAGGGTTGTTTTTTTTTCATAGCTACCATGTATAGAACATGTTTTAATTATAGACTGCTTTTTTCAGGAAAAACACAGTTTATATGCTGAAAAATATGGTATTTGTCTCAGGTAGATGTTGAGCATTATGGGACCTGCTACCTTCATATGGGAGCTGAGGGCTGCCATGGGTTGCACTTTTTGTCTCGCCTTGCCCCTTTTTAAGATTTCTTGGTTGTCATGATTTGTGTTGGCCAGTTCAGTCAGTAAACTGGATAGCAGCTTTCTGAAGCTTGTGTTTTAGTATCAAGTAATATATACCTTTTACAAGCATCGGGTTTACCTGGGGACTTTATGAGCTTGTATTCATAAAATCAGTGTGCCCCCTGCTACTGAGGCCTGAGCCTGTCTCCTACTATTGGGATATCACGGTGTACAGATGTGGGCCTTTGCATCCCATTGACATTCACTGGTCTTTCTTTTCCACAAGGCCGATGCCATTCAGTACAGTTGGATTGGTTTTCCTCTCAGTTATCTCACCTCCCATGACTTTGATGACTTGATTAATTGGGGAGGGGTGATGACTCCCTGACCCAGAGCTGACTAGCAAGTGCCAGACCAGGTGCAAAAAACCCCCTCTTTGCAAAGGAAAAGAAAAAAATGAAACCCTGCCGTCCACTCAGCAACCTTCCTCTCACTGCAGGAGTCTCTGGTGCTGCCTCTCTCCTCTTTGTCTTCAATGTACAGGCACTTGATCACTGAAGCTGTGATCAAGCATTTTGTTTTTTTCCCGAGTAATGAGTGCCCTGCCACTCACTTGACTACCCATGGTGGCCAACTAACGCGGAACCCTTTCTTTCTTCTTTATCTGAGCTCCTCTGACCTCTGAAGACCTTGTGGGTCTATTGCCCCATTCCTGGGGACTTCAGTCCTGGGCAGCAGAGGGCATCTACCCTCTCTGCCTGCCCTGTCTCTTTCCTCTACCTTTCCTCTTTGTCCTGGTGCCTGGAGCCGGAAATAACCCCTGGCGGCTTAATTAGCCCAATCCAATTCACCTGGCGAGCTGATAAGGCTACACCAGGGTGAATCGGGAGGTCCCTTCAGAGCTTGGCTGTGCTGCTGTGGCTATATAGGCTCCTGTGGCCAGGGATCTTCTCTGGGTATATACTCTCGATCTTTTCACACCTACCTCTTGTGATTCTGCCCTTTTTCAGACCTCTGACAAGGTAGTCCTTCCTTCTGCCTAACTCACCCTGTCAGTCATGAACAGTCCTGGACAAAAATGCAGTTAACTTATTGTTGTATTCAACTGAGACCTGGACATTGGATTAAAAAGATTTTGCAGAACATATCTGGTTTCCTTGGAAGTATCATTTTATTTTTTGGAAAACCAAACACTTTATCAATGCAGATATCTTCCACCTTTGCTTTTTCAACAAAAAATTAAAAACATCCATGGCAAAGATCATTTTCTGACTTACTCTAGCTGTAATTCCATTGGTATACAATCACTGACTTCTCAGAAATGATTGTGGTGTCATGATCCTTGCATCTAGCTCTTCAGTCAGGTAAAAAGAGAAGGGATGTGGCAGGAGGGACCTAATTGCATAGAAATGTGCAATGTCACAAACTGGAAACAGTAGTTAGTCTCCTGCTACCAACACTTTCCAACAGACCTAACAAGCCACTTCAGGGTCAGGTTTACAACTGTGATTGTGCGCTCTCTGTCTGCATGTGTGTCTCTCTTTCACTTGATTTCTCTCAGCCCCCAATTCCTACAAGATCATCTCTAGTATCTGCCTAATTTAGATGTATTCTGACCTTTTGCTCATATTAGTCCACGGGTGGACAAAATGTGGCCTGCGGGCTGGATGCAGCCCACCAAGCCATTTTATCTGGCCCATGGGGCCCCTAAAAAATTAGAAAATTAATATTAATCTGCCCTGGGCTCCCTGTCATGTGGCCCTTGATAGCTCACCAAAACTCAGTAAGCGGCCCTCCGCCCAAAATAATTGCTCGCCCCTGTATTATTCAGTGATCAAATGAGAATGACTGACTTGGAGGAAAATATTTCAGATTCAGAGATGTACTGGCTTCCAAGTTTTCAGACTTAGCAAAACTAGTCCATGCGTCAGATAAGGGAAGCTACCTCTAGAACTCCAGACCACCAGGGCAGCTACTCTTGCCTCAGTTCCACTTCTCCCAGTGACATTTGTGTTCTTACAGCTAGGTCTTCCTGGGTTAGCACTGATCACACTCACCCTACGTCATGGAAACACAAGAGTACAGAAAGAAAGCTTCAGAGCCTTGCTTAGCCTAGAGGTCATTTTCCCCTCATATGGTTGCGTTGTGCATTTACCCCTCACATGGTTGCCTTGTCCCCTCCAATGTTTGCTTTGTGCATTTACCTCTGCCACTGCTGATCTTGGAGGTCATGTGCTTAAGCAGCAATAGGAGAGCATGGTCACAGTGTCCTCTTATCAAAATGCATTTTCAAATGCATTGATAATGGCTTTGGTGAAACTCAAGTGATAAAGAAAGGATTTGTTGCCTATAATTTTGTTTCTGGTATTCTGGTGTAATGGATACCCCCTGGTGGCCCTGCAATCTGTGCCCTGCTTTGTGTCTAGGGTACCCTCTCCTTGCCCACCATGCCTTTGTGCATTTATTGTATTGAAAGGGAGGCTGCCTAAGGGGCCTAGAGAGATAGGCAGCCCCCCAGTACGGGTGCCAGAGCGTGGCACTCAAAGGCATTTTGATTGGCAGCAGTGACATTGTAGCTGTGATGGTCCAGACATTATGCGAGAGCCAAGGGTTTCTTAGGGTGACTTGAAGAACGTCTTGCATTCAAAAGTTTGTCTAACTGTATCACAACTACACAGTTGGTCCAATAAAAGATATTACCCTAAGTAATAATGCCTTGCATTTTTCCTTCGGCATTTTAAAACTCACCCTGTACATGAAAGGTGGCTTTCTTAGTGCAGTCAGATAACTCAGCTTCAACTCAGCACTGTGCTTCCTAAAGTAACTGCGTAACTAAGTGAAATCAAGTTAGTTTTAGGGCATATTATGACTGCTGTATGCAACTGCCTGCCCCTCATGTGGTGATTGTGCCCTCCAACTCATAAACGTCTTTGATGAACACATTGCAGATTCTTGTACTTCCATACAATGCTCCATTTTCCTAAGCAATGAACTTGGCTGGTAAGGGATTTGTGCTCTGTTCTCTGTTGCAGGACATGGTCCCTCATTGTATTCATGGAGTTCTATTGCTTGTTGAAAGAGATCTCACTTTTCGGATGGAGAAGCCAACAGCTGCCCAGGTAATGGAACTATTCATTCAGGACTTGCCAGAGAGCTCCTGATACCTTGTGTTTAGGTGTCTGAACAATGAGTACTCTGTGCACTTATGGATGTTTATTCTCACTTGAAATCTTCCTAGCCCTTCTCTTTATTTATTGGGTGTGGTCTCTCTTTCCGGTATGATATTTATGGAGCTGTTCAGTGTATGCAAATCAAACATATCTCAGGAACAGTGTTTCGTTATTGCCAAGTACATCACTTACACACATACCCCATAAGCATGTCACAATATCAGCACCATCACTGTGAAACACCAGGAGGATGGACAGGAGGAGGAGTCCTGCACAGTGCACATTGACCTAAGTGCTTTCTAAGCCCTGTCATTAACAAGAGTCTAAATCCTGGAGTTCTTATTCAGGCAGAATTTCTATTGTGCCAAAGCTGTGTTCTACTCAGCAAAAATAAGAAACACTGCCTGATCTTTTGCAGGTCCCAATGAGTCCTCTTCCCTTGGCAAAAACAGGCTTCATGCAGAAAAGGAGGAAAGAGGACTGAGGCTGCACCCTTTTCAGTGGGAATAGTGTGTAATGGAGTTTCAGGGAGTAGGGTCTTCTTCACTGTCCTCATCCATTCAAAATGCCCCAGCTGTGAGGAGATTCTTAGTTGCATGGCTCGGAAGTCCTGGCAGATAACTATTGCAATGGCTTTAGGGTCTGTGGGGATGCTGCCTTTCCAGCCAGCACTCAGCTGCCTTTTGCTTTGGACTGTCTGAGAAGGTACCTCCTCTGCCAATGACACCTTGCAGTAGAATCATAGAATCTTAGGGTTGGAAGGGATACCTCAAGGTTTAGCCCCCTGCACATATGCAGGAGTGCAACAATAAGCCTTAGAGTTTATTCATGCACATTGACTGCAAGTGTAGACATGCCTGCAGTCTCCTTCCATGATCATTGGAACCTTGCAGGGATCCAGACAACCCACAGGCTTTCCTGAGAGTTTGGCTAGAGTAAGGACTTAAATGAGAGCTTCAGGGGGAGGGACGCATAAGACAGGTGTCTTAACATGTACTAATTGTTGCAAAATGCAAATCTTCAAACTTGCAAGAGGTGCAGTATGGCTGGGTTACATTGCTGTTGAAACGTTAACTCATGCATTTCTCAGTCACTTTTGAGTCTGATCATTCAACTGCACTGTGAATTCAGTGAGAGCTGAAATGGCCAAGTCAGTATCCAGAATTAGAATTGAACTGTGATTGTGCCTAGAGGCTCCAGACAGGGATGGAGGCCCGTTGTGTTCAATCCTGTGGAGTCCCTGTGCTGAGGCACCCTGAGCCCCAGCCAACTGTTCCCTGGCTGGCTGGAGCACAATGTGCCTCAAGACAGGGGAGCAGGCAGCCTTGGGCTGGCCGTTCTTGTCTCCACGTGCTTCAGCGTGGGGCCTTGAGGGCCTCCTGCTTCCCTATCTCCAGGCACCCTGGCCTGGGCACAGGGTGCCTCAGTGTAGGGGATGGGTAGCTCCTGCTGAGTCACTCTGTGCCCCAGCCAGTGCCACCCCCCAGCAGCACATGGAGCAGCTGGACAATGTGTCCAGCTGCAAGGCACGCAGGCAGGGGCATGCACTGCAGTGCATAGTAGTGGCACAAATTTGTGCCAGTACTATTTGTGCTGCTACAGGGCACACCCTTGCTCGTGTGGATGTGGCCACAGGCAAATAGCTCCTGGGGTATATAGAAGGAGCTGAGGATGAAACAGGGTGCAGCTGCTCTGTTAAGACATAGCTAGTGGTATTACTTTTGGAAAGTAAGTGCAGCTTTACAGTCCCCCGAACCTCTAAAAAATGCATGAATCTCTTCACAATGAATGACCTCATAAGGCAGAGAGTTGCTCCATCTCTGCGAAAATGACACTGGTGCTGGAGGAATTCCTGACTGCTTTCAAACTTCTGTCTCAGATGACTTTTCCACTAACACTGTTGGGTCTTGCAATTTCTTACTGCTTGCACATTCAACTATAGAACAGCTAGTTAATGAAATATTCTGAGATTGAATATTGCATTTGCCTTTTCTCTTCATATTGTGATTGGATCACAGATAACTTCCCTGTGTGTGGGCACATTCCTTCCCAAAGGTAGAGCAAACAGAGAGATGCTGTCTTTGGTATACCCTCCTCTCCTTCTGGCTACTTTTCAGTGCTCCTTTCTTCAGGGAGGTATCTTATGCAAATACTTGTCTTCTTCTTAGTTTGAGCTTCTCACCTCAATGAAGTCCCTGCACAAGCACATAGACAGCTCGCAGCTGCCCCTCGAATTGGATGGAACCTTTCCTTACTGTCATCGGGACTGGCAAAGCTTTCGCATGGTGAGTGAGAGGCAGCATGTTACTTTCAGGTTTGTGTTTGGTACTTCCATAGAACAGAGAAAAGAAACAATGTCAATTTAAATCTACAGGCATAAGGAGATTTAAAGTTATTGGTCTTGTAACAGCCATGTTTCAGCTACATCGTGCATATATGTCTGATAGTGTTTAAGTTGGGGCTGTAAGGTTTATCCATTAATGGTATGTATGCAAGGTGTAGCCAGAGCTGTAGGTATCATAACATTGACTGTTTTATTACTGCTGCCTCTGCATTGAAGGGAGACAGACTCTTTTCTTCTGTTACAGTCCCAGGCATCAAAAGCAGGGGCTCCCTTGAAGGTTATTTCAGCTGTGGTTAACATAAAGTCACCATTTAACTAGTTACACATCCAACAATAGAAAATAATCTGAAGTTAATTAGAATCATGTCATTTTGGAGCCAGAGTTCCTAGAGTGAATAAAAGGCTTCTCAATGAGGACTGTATTCCTGGCAGGTGAAAATACAGTACCAGATTTACAACACCAGTGTTCAAGTTCTTGAAAAAAATATCTGATCTGGCTGAGAACACCTTTTCTCTTTGGCATTGATAGCGGGTATGTTCTACCAAACAACCCACCATACTCCAAGCCCATTCAGAAGCGGAAGCCTGAAAATGAGGAGGAGTATTTTTCTTTCTATTTACATGGATGCTTATGCCTCTTCATCAGCTATAGAAATCCTGCCCTAGATGGGCCAGAGGATTTCCAAAGGTTTCTTTATAGTATAATGCATCACAGTCACATTGATAGAGAAAAACTATCCTTTAGGAAGAGTCAGAATCTTAATGTTTCTGCCAGACGAATTAATCTATGGAAGAAAAGCAAGCCCAGTTTTCTTTGTATTCAGTGGGCAAGTCTACACATGCAAATGCTGTGGGTTGGGCTTTCTCTACAGTAAACCCACCCCAGGCAGGTGACTACATGTATGCATGCAGGAGCAGATTTGCTGCTCCTGGCAGAAGTCTGCCTCTGCCCCCTCCACAGAAATCTCCTGGCCACTGCAGAAATCTCCCGGCCACTGCTGCCCAGCTGACCCAGAGAACGTTTGCTCCTGATCAGCCATCTATACATGCTGTACTGTGCAGTAACTAATTGCAAGTAAATTTGCTACTTGTATTTACAAGTAGAAAATTTACTTGAAATTAGAGCAAATTACAGTGCGGTAAGCGTCTGCATGTGTATATGTGTTGTTTATTTGGTTGGTTTATTTAAGTTGTCAAAAGTTTAAACACCCAGCAGAGGACCTGAAGCCACTTGCCAGGTCATATTACAGGGAGGAAACCTGTAATATTGTATAGGGGTTACTATTAAAGTTCACTTGATACCAAAATGGATGAGTTGACGTGTCAGTCCGTCAATCCTTGGGGGCCTCTGGTAAAAAGAATCCTATTGGTAACAGGCAGAGATGTTTACTGGGCAGTAATCTGCGCTAATCCCAAGTTAAGCATCTTGTATAGATGCGCCCAGTGGGCATGTCTGCACAAAACACTTAATGCACTGTAGTCTAATAATACTGCACAGTAGTGGGCCAGGCAGAAACTGTGCTCATATGATACTAGCACTCCAGGCGCTTGCTGGCCTGCTGCCATGACTCCCAGCTGGTCCATAGCCATCTGGGGCCTCCTGGCTCCCCCACATGCAGCAACCGCCTGCTTGGCTGCAGCGTGCCATTCCAAGGCCACCACTGCTGCCACTACCACATCTCTGCTGCCTGGACCCTGTCCTGCTGGCTGGACCCCAGCAGTAATGCCGGCAATGATTACTGATGCCACCCCCGGGGCCACCAGCGTCCTCCCAGGCCTCCAGCCGCACTGCCTCTGGGCCTGTTGTGCCAGTCAGGACTGGTGGCTGCATATTGTCCAGCAGTCCTGTGATGATGAGCAGTGGCTGGAGGTGTTCCGGATGACCCGGTGCACCTTTCAGGACCTCTTGGAGCAGCTCTGGATATCCCCAGTGCATCAGGGCCCTTGACGGAACCCATATCTCCATCACCTGCTCACCCCGTGACGACTGCCTCTACTCTAGCTGGAGGGGCTTTCACTCCGGTGTGCTCCAGACCGTTATTGACCACTGTGGTGCCTTCACCAATATGAGTGCGAGCTGAGCCTGCGTGTTCCATAACTCCACCCTGCCAGCCCTGGTGCAGAGTGACTGCTTCATGCTGGGGGGTGTTGGACCTGCAGTTGGGTGCTGTGGTGGTCCTGCCTCTCCTCATTGGAGGCCTCGCCTATCCACTCCTGCCCTGGCTCATGTGTCCCTACACTGGCCAGGTGGACCCCTGCCAGGCCCACTTTATCTGCTGCCTGGGCTGGACCTGTGCCTGGTGGAGTGTGCCTTTGGCTGCCTCATGGGACACTGGTGCACCCTCACTGCCTGCCTTGTTTGCCAAGGACAACCTCCCCCTAGTCACTGTCACAGCCTGTGTGCTACAGAACATCTGTGAGGCTTGGGAGGAGCTCTTCTGTGAGACGTGGGAGGAGGAGGATGCCTGACAGCAGGGGCATCACCTGTGGCAGCAATGGCAGTGGTGGGCCCTCCCCACCATGGCCCCAGGAGAGCCATACACCTGCCCCTGGCAGACAGGGCACTGTGTGTGAGAGGTGCTGGTCAACCACCTCCTCCTGCACTCCCCACTGTAGCCCTCCTGAACAGCTGCCAACAGACCTTCACCTCCCCACCCACTCCCAGCACCATGCTCGCTGCAGACACATCTCAGAACAAGTTTTTTATTCCCCACATAAAACAGACCCCCATACCTCCAACAAACAGAGCCTCCCACCTCACATCCAATAACAGAGCCCCTCCACCACCCACCCCACCCACCAACAATAAAACATCCTTTTCTCTGTGCAAACTATTTAAAATGTGGTTTGTGTGCTGTCCTGGGGTGGAGAGCCATGGGGTGGGGGTGCCTAGGGGGCAGAGCCTGGGAACAGGCTTTAAGCATCCCAGCCTGTGGATGTTCCCCCATGGATGTGAATGCAACAGTGACCCCAGCAGGCAGGAGGCTCGCCCAGGGATGACAGCAGGGGCAGGTGGGTTAGGGTCAGGAGCTAAGCAGCAGGTGGCATGAAGGCAATTGCCAGGGCCAGGACGGTGTTCAGCACTCAGCCGTTGTCATCTGTGGCTTACACTGCCCTGCCCAGGACTGTGGTCTGCTCCTGCAGGGCATGCACCCGTTCCATCCAGGAGCTGCGCCCAGAATTTCTGATCTGCCAAACCTCCTCATGGGCTAAATCCTCCACCCACCACCTCTCCTGGTGGGCCATATCCTCTGCCTGTCAGGCCATCAGATGGCCTTCCAACACTGTCATCAGCTGGTCCAGGAGGACACTGTGGTCCTGGGTCTGCTTCCTGTGGAGATAGTGCATCCTCAGGGCACCGGCTGTGGGCGATGGTGACCCTGAGGATGCATCCTAGCTGCCAACTGCGGGCTCGCCCCTGTGTGCAGCCACAGGGCCTGCAGAGCCATGAGAAAGAAGCTGTTTGTGAGAGTTTGCAACATTTCTGAGATAAGATGCTCTTTACCAGGGGCCATGTGCTGCCTGACCTCATATTGGGGGTCAGGCATGCATGGGTCCCCAAGGACCATGGTAAGTAGGGCAGGCAGGCCTGGGTCCAGGTGGTTGCCGGCAGAGCCCCTTCTCTCCTCTCATTCTACATGGGCAGGTGGGCTGCTGGGTGCTGGACACAGACAGTCTGCCTCCCCCACCCCATTCCCAGAGCGGAACAGGACAGGCTCCTGGCAACACCCGCTGCCGTGGCTCCAGATCCCACTGCTTCCCCTCCTCCCCTCCCCCGCAGCCTGCCTGTTCTGCTGCCAAGCCTTTGGCGCCCTGGTTCAGGGGGCACAGGGCTCATGGACTACTGGAATGAGGCACTGCCCCTGCCCTCGCCCTCCCTACAGGGTGCCTCTCCAGGGAGTCTCCCTGGGGCTAGCTCCTCCTCCTCAGTGCTGATGCTGTGCCCTGAGTGTACCCATACTGCATGTGTCCCAGGTGGTGTGTGAGGAGCTGTTTGTATGGACCGAGGGGTGCCTGACTCACTATGCCCTGCTGCTGGTAGTCCCCATGTTGTCCTGGGCACACCTGAGCAGCTGGCATGAGACTCTGAGCTTTAATGGAGCAGGGGCCAAGCCCAGGCTGCTCCGTAACCTCCACTACCACCTGGAGGGCTACCTGTGTCTGTGCTACATGTCCCTGCCTCCTGGACATCACCACTGGCATAAATGCATTCCTCAGCATGTGAGGGGCCTGTACTTGCTTAGCTGTGGGGTCGTGGGCTGCTCAGTAAAGTTTGGCACTGTCTCCCACTTCCCTGTGTGTGGTGAGGGGGAATCTGGAGGCCATGGGAATGTGGCTGGGCTTAGCGGGGCATGGGGGACAGGAGCAGGGTCTGGGGGCAGGGGTCGGGACTGAGAGGCCCTTTCCCCCAGCACATGACTTACCAAGTTACCAGATCTGGCATGGCTGGTGGCTCCGCTCGGTCCTGGACGGTGGCTCTTCAGGCAGCAGGGCATGGTGTGCAGGTGCTCAGGCAGCCCCTCCCCCCCGGGGAGCAGCTGGCTCTGCTGGCAGTGACATGGCTGACCATGCCTCATGGCTGGGGCTGAGTCTGCAAAGCTGTCATGGCAGGAGGTGGCCTGGGCTCCCCAAGCTGCTGGTGGAGGCTGCAGGTGGGGAGCTCAGTGGGACGGGCTGCCAGCACCCTGAGGGGCCCTGCCCCAGTGACACGTCATTGCAGGTGCCAGGCCGGGGCAGGGGCTCGGGGGCCCCACAGTGCCTTCCCAATCGCCTCCTGTGACCAGTTGGGGCCCAGGGTGGCAGGCACTGGTTTGGGCGATGGCAACGCCATCAGGGCTCCTGTGCCAGGTCTCCAGGCCTCTGTACGGCTGTCCCTGTGCTACCAGGCCTGGGCAGCTGCTTGCAGTGCTCAGCACAGGGGCATGGCACAGGACTGGCAGCCATAAGGTGAGGCAATGCCCCACAGCACCTGTAGGCTCCAGGCAGGCTGCTGTGGGTGTGCTGCAAGTGTGAAAAAACTTCTAAGGCCTATGCCTATGGCTCTGCTCCCTCACTTAGGGTTTTTTTTTCTTCTTTCTCTTTCTTTGTCTTTTCACATGTCTGTCAACCATGGTTGCTGCCTATATGACCTGGCTCAGGTAGGAGAGGGTGTATCTAGCCTCTCCGTTGTTCTGAGTTCTGATGCCATGGGAGCTAGGCTTAAACCAGTGTTGCTCCAATCAGTAATGCTGATGTTTTCCAAATTGATTGGTCAGCATCAAATAACACCTGTCCCTGACTGGGTCCAGGTGATGAGGTCAGTTGGGCTATTTAAAAGGGTCCCTCCACGTTGTGGGTGGAGGCAGACATCTGGTCAGAGAATCAAGCTATGTACCTCCAGAATCCTTTGGATGTTGCTGTGAGTAACTTATTTGCATTTTAGCGAGTAACTTAAATCTAAGTGTTCTAGATGTGTACTAAAAGGGCCAACAAGCCCCTTTTAGTGTTTTCCTTGAGGCTGTTTGCTTTCAGAATTCTTTTTGGGTTGTATTCCTTCCCAATGCCTTCCCTTTCTAATCAATAAAGCCTTCTATCGTAGCAAGCCTGGCAGTAAATGTTTGAGAGGAATTGGGCAAGCCTTTTTGCTCTCTTTGCTTGGCTGACTAAGGGAGGCTACTTTCTATGTTTCAGGCTATAAGAAGCACCCAGATCTATCCTGCTGGGGCTAAGCAACGCCTAGGTCTACGGGGCCTGTGTACCCAGAGCGGCACAGAGCACTAACAGAGACTGGAGGTTTGGTGGTAGCAGCAGTTACCCCAGGCTTGTGGGTGTGCTCCAGGAAGGGGGTTGACCAGAAGTTGGCACTTCTGGGGAGGCATCCGAAGCTTGGTTTTGCTCAGGTGCAGTGAGGTGGGAAGCTCAGCACCAGAGTGCTCCCTACTGGCCCACCACAGTAGGCAGCTTGAGCTGGCCCTGGTGTCTGCAGCTGGGCCTGGGTACTGACAGGCCTGGCAGGAGCCTGGAGCAGCCTGCTTGCCTGGATGGTGCAGGTCTGGCAGCTGCATGGTGCTGTGGTGCCAGGCAGAGGTGCCGGGATGTAGGCTGGCTGGTATGGCTAGCCTGCAGCCTGCCCAGGACACACAGGGTCCTGGAGTAGCCTCAAGCTCCCTGCATGTGTGCTCCAGGGCTCAAAATGCCTGCAGGCTTTTAAGGGCCTGAGGCTGGGGCTGCTATAGAGCTGGTCCAGCTCTGGGGCTGGCCCCCTAGTGGTAGCGCTTACTAGGACCAAGCTTGCTCCTGGTTGGCTTCTACGTGTATGTTACTGTGTAGTAACTACTCGGATGTAAATTTACTACTTGCATTTGCTGGTAGCAAATTTAGTTGTGAGCAGCACCATTTACTGTACAGTAAGCATGCACACGTGTAGACATGCGTGCTTACTGCTCAGTAAGCTATGGTACCGCACAGTAAAGCATCTCGTATAGACACACCCACTGACTGGAATAAATCAGTCTTGCAAGAGTAGCATAGTGTAGAGTAGAAAAATGTTGAAACCCAAAGCTGAGAGAGAACATGCATACAGATTAGTCTTTTTAGTAGGGTTATGGCTGAATTCAGATGAGCATGAGGTGTAGTAAAGAGAAATGAGGGAAATGTTTATAGTCAAACAAAAGTAGATAAGGAAGGGGGCTGGGGGATTGGGCCACTTCTCATTTCACATGCTTTCTATTTTAATGGCATAACTTTGCCAGAGCTGTCACTAAGGTGGAAGTTTGTGTGAAAATCTGACTTCATGGGTGCTATATACATACAGCACACTGAAAGTGTCAGGAATCAAGTGCTAGACTCTTTAAAACTTTGCATTCATGTGGCAAACAGCATTTATTTGACATTTCTGATGAGCTCACCTGAATCCTGCCAGCTAATCAGTCTCTACAGGGGCAGTTCCAGTATTCCAAATCTGGAAGCCATTTTAAATAGCTACTGCTATTTTATTGCATACAACATACCCCTGACTAAGATACATACCTTATTTTTGAAAGGCAGGATGAAGAAAGAAAGATCTTTCCTTGCTTCTGCAGCAGGAGCCTCTGGTAGTGGGGAGAAAGAGGCAGGGAGAAGAGAAAGTGTCCATAGGCAACAGATAGGGAGTCCCATGTGCAGCACTGCAGTAACTTTCACTTCATCTCCTACTCCTCCCCTCCCCGACCCCCCAGAAAATTATGTTGCCGTATTTTCTTGCTTATAATGCACGCCCTAAATTCCAGCAGCTGAATTTTGGGGCAAAAGTGTGTGTTGTATGTGAGGAAGTATGGTAATTTGAAAGAAAACCAGCTTTTGTGTGTGGAATTTACCCCCCTCCCTTGTCCCAAAAATTCCTCTGGTTTAAGGGAAACAACTGTTACTATTCAGACCTAAATTGATGACTCTTCATGGGCAATAGCTCATGAACCACCAGGGCTTGAAATGGTTTCTCTGTATCCAAGGAAAACTGATAACTCAGGTTTTTTCAGTTGTAGAGGTCCTTTGTATCTGTCTGGAAGGTTACCAGATATTCAGTCTTAAATATGTACCGACCTTATAGGTGCAAAATAGCTAATCCATGTCATGTATACAAATTTAGAACACATGCAATAAATTTTCTGCTACCCAGAGGCCCATGTATTGTAACACAAGCAATTTGGCTTTATGAGTAAGGCATATGAAAAGCAATGCTAAGTTTGAAAAAATGCAGCTCTCCAGAGAACATTCTGAAATATTCTATCTAAAATGAGGCCCAGAATTCCCCTTGGCTTGGGGTTGTAATTAATTGGCTTGTATTGGTCTCAGCATGGAGTGACCTGGCTAAACTCAGTTTGGCCACTTGTGGCTGGTGCGGCCATTCCAGGGACATGACACAAAAATCTTTATCCCATCAGGTAGTCTTTAGTCCTGGTGCATATCTTCTCATTCTTATTAATTTTATTATTTGAGACTATTTATTAGTTTAGTGCATGTAGCTAAAGTCTAGTTAAACACACCATTCCACTCCAGCTCGTGCTCTTTCTACCAGTGTCCACAGGTCCCTACAAGCTGCTTGTTCTCTTTAGCCCTAAAAAGGATAGTGCTATGACAGTAATCTCTGCTTGTTTGTCTCACCTCATAGAAACTAGAGCATCTGCTACAAGGATGTCAGGGAGCTTGTGCTTTCCTGCAGGGGGCCATTCACAGTGTGGAATCTGGTAGACTGCCGGAAAGAGCTGCGGTAAGTGTCACTCTACTACTGGATACAAGTGTGGTACAGAGAGCAGGATGCTGGACAGCCTGTGGGGAGAAACTGTGCAGCCTTAGACTTTACTGATATAATACCAGGTTCTAAATACAATGCATGCTACTGCATGCATCTGAGACTTTTGCTGCATTTTTTAAATTATTTAATTTAATATTGAAACACTTAAGGAAATTACCCAGAGTAAAAAAGATTAAACAACAGGTGTCTAAATAGCAAAGATCTAGGAACTGGGACTTCACATGTGGTTTAGTGAGGGAAAAAAAGGGATTAAAAAGGAAATTAACTTTACCATGAATTTCTCATCAAAGTACTGATGCAGGGATGGGTGGAGGCATAGTTACTCATCTGTGTTAGCATACCACCCTTATCCTTTCCTGGGGCAGTTGGGAGACTTTGCCAATCATTAGCTTTATGACAATGAGCCTCTGTCATAACTCATTGCATGTTGGGAGGAAGGAAAGGTGCTAATAGTATCTTTAGGTCTGAAGAGCACTGATTTGCTTATATTAATAAAATGCAGTCTTTGTTAAGGAGCTGTCTTTGTTAAAAAAAATCCTCAGGAAGGGCCCAGGACTGATCAGAAAGAGTGTCATTGGATTGTTCTTTCTGACAAACCTGATGCAGATCTGGAGGAAATGAGTTCACTTATGAGACATTGCTTTTAACAGGAGAGAAAAAAGTGCTGAACAGTTCTTGCTTTCCAAGTCTAATCTTCCAAGGACAGAGAGAAAAAGGTGGGGAAGGGGGAGAACCAAGATAAAAAGAAGGCATGTAGAGCAGGACACATTTTTCTCTCTGCAGTTACCATTAAATAGCTTAAAATTCAATTAACCATGCCAATCAGATGGAAGCAGGCTTTGAGCAAGGAAAAATTAAGCAGTGCTAGAAGGCAGCTACCAAACAAAGACTCTTTAACTACAGCACTCTGTCTGTTGCTTCTCCCCAAACATTTATTGTCTGGAGTGTTGACATCTAGTACTATAAAATCCTGAGTGTTGTGCAGCCTTTTCTAAGTCTTGTGTGTACAAGACCTGTGAGCTTTGACACTATTCAGCTATTGAAGTCTCTCTCTTCTCTTGGGTACAGACCTTCAGATGCAGAAACCTCTACATCAGTACCAACCACTGCAATAGCAGCTTTCTGTTACCAAAAATTAAATGCACCTTCAAGGTACATGAAGAATTAATTGTCGTGTAGTGCAGTGTGTCCTGTCCTCCAACTGAGAGTGCAGGATTGGGCTCAAGGGTAATGTTCTCACCTAAGAAGGTTTGTGCCTGGAAGCAATGGTGGTACCTCTAGCATTGAGCAGCCATTACCATCTTTACCACTAAACTAAAAATATGAAGACACTCTCTGTGCTTGTGTTCCATTGCTGCTACTTCAGGAGTTGCTGTATTGAGCGAGTGCCACAGCAAGACATCGTGAGGAAAGTGCCAGTGTAGATGCAGGTCTCATGGTTTATTTCTTTGCAGTGGAAGCTGCTAAGCTTTTAGTATAGGGACAGTGTATAGGTAGCTGATATAGGCCAAATCTGCTAATTGAGTGCCCCTCAGAAAGTGCATCAGTTAAAGATACTGTCTCAGAACCTTTTTCCTTCTGCATGCACATGTGTAGACACCAGCACATATGCCATCAGAGAGAACCTGGGAGTCCAGCAAGGTCTGGCTCCTATAGACAAGGGAGCTCATGAGCTGACTGTGGGTGGCAAAATGAGGACAAGGCTTCACTTTCCTTGTCAAGAAAAAAAAAATCATTGAACTAATTTGGGCTAGTCTTAGCTTATTAAGGCAAGAGTCTGCATCACAAAAGAACATCACATGTTTTTTGGCAGAGAGGCCAAGGATTCAGTGGTTTCTGGACCTCGGATATCCTCTTACCTTAAAGGTCCTTATAGGGTGGGGGTGAGGTACACAGAGGGGGCAGGGAGTGTTTCGCCTCTGCCATGTGCCCCTCCCCTCCTCCCCAGCTACAGCCTTAAACTTTATAATAGTTAAATAACCATATCCACCTTTCTCTAATTCCTCAGGAGGCTGCTGCTTTGTTGAGGCATTACAGACAGTTAATGAAGAATGTTCTTGATGACACACGACTGGTCAGACTACAGCTGGAGGGTGGTGCCCTCCTGGCTAAGCTGAGGAAGGAAGAGTCCTGTGTAACCCTCACTGATGACTACAGGTAAACCTGTGGGAAGGCAGAAAAGGAAGAGAAAGTTGAAGCAAAGTAGGAAGAAACCCTTCTTTTGCTTTCCTCACAAATAGTGCCAGTTTGACAGCAGCTCTCCTGTATTGGGATCCATTTGTGGAAGATACCCATCACATCCTAAATTTTCGCTGTTTTTTTTTCTTTTTTTCCTGACATTTTCCCCCATTTCCAAGGTGGTCCCTCCCCCTTTCAAATTCTTACAGACTTTTACAGCAGATCCCTTTGGACAACACTGAGTTTCTTTCCAAAACCAAACCAGACAGTTTCTGGTGTGAGGCCACTAAGGTTATTTGGTGGTCAGATCTCACATATGAATGCATGTCATAAACTTCCTACAAAGCTCAAGTCTTAATGGATGATGCCAACAATGCTCATATCAATACTATGATCCCTACCATTTTTTTCACAGTGAGAGAATTTGGGGGCGGGGCAGGGGGGTATGAATTAGAAGCCATACTTTTTGTTGGAACAAGGTGCAGGTATGGTTTGCACACACATGCATGATGTTCCTTGCATGGAATTGTATGTGCTATTTGAGTAGCTGCCTCTTTGATTTACATCTGCCAAAGAGAAGTTATACTTTTAAAACTGTACTTGGCACAATGTTGTTATTTGTTTCATTGGACTTGGGGATAATCTGATAAGGGGTCTAAGGCTGAGCAATCAAACCATCCTTGCCTGAGGAGACAGCTGTCAGAGGATTCTTAGTGGTGCAATGTGAGTGTGCATAAGACTCAGCAGTCTAATTTGTAGTAAAAAGCTTCAAACACAGTTTGCATGTATGACAAGGGAAAAGTACATGAGAAGCGTAGGACAGGATTGTGGAATAGCAGATGAGCTAAGTTGGGGATGGAGGTCATGTTTTACTTTGTCAGTGTCTGTCTTGGATGAAATCAACACGATCCTGAGTTGAGACAAAGTGGATACAGAGGAAAGGGAAGCTTTGAGCAAGTCACAGGTGGCTAAAAAGCTGCTGATGTTGCACACATGCATTTTGATTAAGTGGGAGAAGCAGAGTTGTGTAGCTGGGAGGCTGATAGAGATGAAGGTACTGCAGAATGAATTAGTAGTTGTAGAATTCAGCCTGATCATGAGATTTCTGCTAAACACGTTCTGCAGTGCTAGAGCAAGAGTGGAAGAATTGGATGCCAGGCCTGGGGGCTGGCAGGGCTTACCTGGCAATGAGAGAGTGGAGCAACAGAGTTAAGGATAGGGGAGAGTGTAGCACAGAGAATCAACTGCCACATCAGTTAAAGAAAGATAAGAGGGGTCAGGAAGAAGAGGGCTAGTAGTGATGAAAAATAATTAAGTTTGATGCACTGGAAGTCACAGAAAGGCTCAGTGGTAGGGGATGGGGTTGGGGGTCATGAGCTAAGACGAGAGAGACTAGGTGATGGTTAGTGAGAGGGAACTCCGTAAGATAGATTAGTGCTTAGTGGAAACCCAACTGAAGGGCTTTTTGGCCAGTTGGAGGCTTGATCCAGGGCTTCAGGTTGAATGGAGAGGTGATGGTGAGGAAAGGTTCAGTGGCTCATCAGAATAGAAGCCAATGAGAATGAGTGTGGGAGACTGTGAAGAAAAGGTCAGGGAACTAGAAGCTGAAAGTGGAGAAAGGGTGATGGGGAGGAGTTGGACAATGAGGATGGAGAGAGAAGCCAAATGCAGGGCTGTTCCAGTGGGGAGAGAGAGGGAGAGGAAAAAAGGACTGAAAAGGGATAGAGAAAAGGAGCCCAACACTGCCCACACTGGCTGATTTGGAGTGGGCAGTGCAAAAGGAGAGATTTCTGTTAGACCAGGCACTTGCAGGTGCGGATATGGATTTCTGTGTGAACCAGGAACAGAAGGGAAAGAAGAGGTTGTGGATGGTTGTGATCCTTTCAGAGTGGGCATTCTAGAGACAGCAACTCATGCTGGTGGGGACTGTAGAGAGGGAAGAATAATCAGGAATGGGAGATAGAGCCAGTGGGTAACACAGGGAAAAGAACACCCTAGAGATCATGTTTAATGACCTTTCTAATGTGCTGTTTGGCACACAGTGGCAGGCATCCAGTAAAGAAAACTGCTCTCATCAGTGCAAATAAAATTTTAAGAGAGGCCTATCTAATAGAGGCATTGCCTACGGAGAGTTTAGCCACTTCATAATTTAGTGAGGATAGGAGAAAATGTACTTTCTCCATTTAAAAAAATAAATCTTAACCACACTTCTTGCAGGCAGGGCTACAGGGAAATTTTGGGCTTTGAAACTTGATCTGGGCAGAGCCCTCCTGGAGTCTGAGCCTGTCTGCTGGCTTTAGAGATAAAAACCTTGTTCTGCTTGCCCAAAGCTGTAAGTGCTTGAGATAGGCTTGCTGAGTATGGTCCGCAGATATTTGTTTTGTTTGTTCTATAAGGGTTGGATCTGGGATATCTTGAAGTTAGTGAAAATACACACCTGGAGCCTGATCTTCATGGCACTGTCAAGCCTGAGAAATTTGGCTGAGCATCAACAGGTGGGTGAGGGTTGGCATCTCTCTCCTTCTAGACTGTGGAGTGGTTGCAGAAGCTGTAATACACATAGGGGATTTTTACACATGTATGCATTGCAGCACCAGGTGCTTTGAAAAGCACCCAGTGCTGTGACGCATGCAGTTGTATAAGCAGCGAAATGCATGTCAGCACTGAGAAAATGGCAGCGGCATGCTTTTGAACTAAAACACCTTGGAGGTGCTTTAGTTCAAAAGTGCACTGCTGTCATTTTCTGCGCGCTGACATGCATTTTGCTGCTTACATGCAGTGCAGTTTGCCTCAGCTTGCACGCGAAGCAGACTCCATTAAATTGAGTGTGTTCCAAATTGGCTGATATCCAGTGTGTCGCTGGAAAAAAGTACGTGTATAAATGCCCATAGTGGGTGGGCTAAAGTAGCTGTCCACACCTCTTATGTATTCCTGTGGTACAGCAGAGTACCAAGGAATTCCTGTGGTTCCACTCCCATCCTTAACTCACTGCTGCCTGTATCTTAATCCCTTCAAAGAGGGGAACAGAACCCCACTAGTTCTTCTGCCAGGGAACCCTGTAAAAGTTGGGGTAGTTTTAGTCCCTTCTAGATACCCTCCATGTACATGCACAGTCACTTCAGTGCCTTTTCTCAGAATTAATTTGATAAGAAGCATTTCTGGCTTTAAAACCACAAGCCTCATTTTGCAAACTCAGTGCAGGGGTTTATTAGACCCCACTCAGTTTCAGAGAAGGGTAGGTGAAAACTTGCATGTTTACCAGTATGCCTATAAAACTTGCACTGGAATAGCTGCAGTTTTACAGTGGAACAAAAGGGCAACATTTGGTGGCTGACATTTGGGGACAACAAAGGCACTGAATCACATCTGTGCACTTGACCTTCACTTCTGCATTTCCTGGCATTGAGGTTCTGAATTGTATCATTTTATCAGTGTGGCAACTTCTTTGTTTGCATTTAAATAGACTTGGAATTTAATTATTTATAAAATAAGAGTTCAACATTGTTTTTCCTTTTATCTTCAAACCCCTCCACCCCCCTGCCAATTTTTGTCACTTGAGTCACATTTTCCTATTTTTAATATTGCTTTCTCCCCTATTGTGGCATGAAAGCCGGATAGAGCCAGGGGAAGGTGAGTGTTTGCTAATAGCTAGACCAGGGAAGCAAGGAGTCTGACTTTGTGCAGGCTGTTATCAAAGACACAGAGAAACAATGGGGAAAAAAAGACAGTATTCTCTCATAACTTGTGGCAAAAGTGCGCTTTGGTGGTTGTACCGATAGTAGGTGGAACACTTCTGACTAATGTGTGGCTTTTAATTTGAATGTATCATTTGAATAATTCATTGATAGGGATTGATTTAAAAAGAAAATGCTGGTCCAGTCCAGTCATTCCCCTTGGAGTTACATGGATGAGAGGCCACCTGTGTCTTGTACAGAATTAATATAGAGCCATATTCAGCAAACCTTTTACAAAGAACACTCCCAGCACACTTTTTGACTCTGGACATCTAACATCCTTTGCTAGTTTGCAGCTGAGTGTGACTGAAAATCCAACTCAGATAAAGTAGGATGATAGAGAAAACAAACGTAGCGGAAAACAGTTAATGTCTTGCTGCAGTTTAATGACTTATGCAGTAAAATACCCAGGAGCTCATGACTGTCCTGGGAAGGAGGCAAGTTTGGGCTCCCTGTCACAGAATATTTAATGGCAAGCCCCTTTTGGGGAGTGCACTGCAAACAAAACTCCCTTCAGTCATTCTTTAGTAATGAGACTTTCCTCTCTCATGTTAGCTTTGGCTCTTTTTGGTCCTTCCTTCTCCCTCTAGCAAATCTTACACCATTCTGGGTGTGTCTACACAAGCCATTCACTGCGCAGTTGTTACTATGCAGTCATTTAGTACTTGCTTAACCAAGTACTAAAAGACTATGGAGTAGTCAGCGTTACCATGCAGTAGCATCCCGGCACGATTGCCTAGTGATGCTTACTGAGTAGTAGCTCGTGACTGCTGCACAGTAGTATCGTGTCACGGTTCATGCCCAGCAATGCTACTGTGCAGTAGTAACGAGCTACTGTGTAGTAAGTGTCTCACGTAGATGTGGCCTCTGAGTGGCTCATAGCACTTAGAACAGTCCCCTTGTCTTTGATTCTGACCTGGGGGCTTCTAACTGATTTGCTGAACCAGAAGCGTAAGCAGTTTGCCATGGAAATGGATAGAGAAAGCATCCATGTAGGACACTGCTGAAATGAGAAGAGTATGTTGTAGTATGTGAACCTATGTTTTTTCAGGCAAAACTTGAAGAATCATCACCCAGGT